AGCTAGGACTACAGGCACCTGCCACTGCCCCTGGCTAAATTTTGTATTTTTAGTAGAGACAGGGTTTCACCATGTTGGCCAGGCTGGTCTTGAATTCTGGGAAAACTCAGTTTATTATTTACAGTTTAAACAAAGACAATAACAGCACTTCCCCAGTATTTTGTTATGGTTGCCCTCACACATTGACATACAACCCTTCCTCGGTCTTCTCATAGTGTGCCTTAGAACCTTGACCACGCCGGGCGCGGTGACTCAAGCCTGTAATCCCAGCACTTTGGGAGGCCGAGGCGGGTGGATCACGAGGTCAAGAGATCAAGACCATCCTGGTCAACATGGTGAAACTCCGTCTCTACTAAAAATACAAAAAATTAGCTGGGCATGGTGGCGCGTGCCTGTAATCCCAGCTACTCGGGAGGCTGAGGCAGGAGAATTGCCTGAACCCAGGAGGCGGAGGTTGCGGTGAGCCGAGATCGCGCCATTGCACTCCAGCCTGGGTAACAAGAGCGAAACTCTGTCTCAAAAAAAAAAAAAAAAAAGAACCTTGACCACATGATATTGTAGTTATCTGTTTTGGCCTTTGTGTCTTCCTTTAGACTAGAAGCCATCCAAGAGCAAGGATTTGTCTAGCCTCTTCACCACCATAGCCCTAGCACCTGCATAGCAGCTAGCACGTTGTATAGAAGAAAAAAAAAAGGCCGGCGTGGTGGCTCACGCCTGTAATCCAAATACTTTGGAGGCCAAGGCACATGGATCACCTGAGGTCGGGAGTTCAGGACCAGCGTGACCAACATGGTGAAACCCCGTCTTTACATAAATTTTTAAAAACTAAATAATTTTAAAAGAAATTAAAAGAAAAAGTTTTTCTTTCTACTCACACCCAACACAAAACACTTCTGTGAAGAGATGTGTGGGTTTTTTCACCACACACCAAGCAGTTCTCCAGCACATGCCAGCTGATGTCCTATAATTCAGTTCCATCCTGACACTGCCTACCTGGAGATTGGGTCAAATCCCACAGGTTAAGGATTCAGTCCCAAAAGGCTGCCCTGCTTTAGACACCATTCCCCAGTCCCAGATTTTGACCTGTGTATCCGGCTGACTGATTGCAAATTGGGGTTTCCATAATCCTCCTTCTCCAGGATTTGGCTTAATGGTTTACATAATAAAGGGTACAGGGCTGGGTGCAGTGACTCAGGCTTGTATTCCCAGCACTTTGGAGCTCTTGAGGCCAGGAGTTAGAGACCAGCCCGGACAACGAAGGGAAACTCTGTCTTTACTAAAAAAACAAAAATTAGCTAGACGTCGTGGCACACACCTGTAATCCCAGCTACTTAGGAGACTGAGGCAGGAGAATTATTTGAATCTGGGAGGCAGAGGCTGCAGTGAACCGAGGTAACACCACTGCATTCCAGCCTAGGCAACCAGAGCGAGACTATGTTTCAAAAAAAAAAAGAGAAAAAAACAGATAAAGGATGCAGATGAACAGCAAGATGAAAAGATGCATAGAATATGAGATGGGGAGGGATGCAGAGACACCTTCCTAGTGTAACTGCACAAGGGGTTTGTTCACCTTGCCCGCGGCGCAGGCAGATCGATTCAAGACAAGAGAATTGCAACAGACAGAGTAATTCATGCAGAGTTGGTTGTGCGGGAGACCCGAGTTTTATTATTACTTAAATCAGTCTCTCCGAGCATTTGGGGATCAGAGTTTTTAAGGACAATTTGGTGGGTGCAGGGATGCCAGTGAGCCAGGAGTGCTAACGGTTGGGGATGAAATCATAGGGACTCGAAGCTGTCTTCTTGTACTCAGTCAGTTCCTGGGTGGGAACCACAAGATCAGATGAGCCAGTTTATCCATCTGGGTGGTGCCAGCTGATCCATCAAGTGCCGGGGTCTGCAAAATATCTCAAGCATTGATCTTAGGTGGCAGATCACTTGAGGTTCAAGACCAGACTGGCCAACATGGTAAAAACCTGTCTCTACTAAAAATACAAAAATTAGCCAGGCGAGGTGGCTCACGCCTGTAATCCAAGCACTTTGGAGGCCAAGGCGGGTAGATTACCTGAGGTCGGGCGTTCAAGACCAGTCTGACCAACACAGTGAAACCCCGTCTTAAAAAAAAAAAAAAATACAAAAATTAGCCAGGCACGATGGTGGGCACCTGTAATCCCAGCTACTTGGGAGGCTGGGGGAGAAGAATCGCTTTAACCTGGGAGGCAGAGGTTGCAGTGAGCTAAGATCATGCCATTACACTCCAGCCTGGGAAACAATACCAAAACTCTGTCTCAAAAAAAAGAAAAACAAACAAAAAAAGAAACGGGAAGTGTGAGATCACTTTTTTGGTTTTCTTTTTTTTTTTTTTTTTTTTTTTTTTGAGATGGAGTTTCGCTCTTGTTACCCAGGCTGGAGTGCAATGGCGCGATCTCAGCTCACCGCAACCTCCGCCTCCTGGGTTCAGGCAATTCTCCTGCCTCAGCCTCCTGAGTAGTTGGGATTATAGGCACACGCCACCATGCCCAGCTAATTTTTTGTATTTCTTTAGTACAGAGGGGGTTTCACTATGTTGTCCAGGATGGTCTCGATCTCTCGACCTCGTGATCCACCCGCCTTGGCATCCCAAAGTGCTGGGATTACAGGCTTGAGCCACCGCACCCAGCCTGGTTTTTGAGACACTGTCTCACTCTGTTGTCCAGGCTGTAGTGCAAAGGCATGACCACCACACCCAGCTGTTTTTTAAGTTTTATGTAGGGATGTGGTCTTTCTCCTGTTCCTGATTGATTTTTCCTGTCACCAGCTCTAAAGGCTGAAAGGTAGAGACCAGGTACCAGCAAGGCTGGTTTATCCTGGTCTTTCTTTTTGGCTTGCAGACAGCGGCTTTCTGGCTGTCTCCTCACATGGCCTTCTTTGTGAAACCACCTTTGCAAAATTACGACAATAAGAGAAATCTGACAAAGTTGCCTCCATCTTGCTTCTGACATCCGAGCTATCCTTGGTCATTCCTGGGCACAGGCCAAGTTCTATTTCGGAGCAATTTAGTTTAACTTTGAAGTAAGGAGGACCATAGTCCCTCCCTAAAATGAATCCAATCCCTATTCAGGGGCTGAAACCAACTTCTCGCAAGACTAATTAAAGGCCACAAGATTAGGATTGAGGGAATGATGTGAAATTAGCTAAAATGTCCGTATAGTTCCTGTAATCCCTTACGGTTCAGGGGTACCACCATGTGGTACAAGATCACAAGACTTATGACTTCCCCAGTTGCTCCTATGGATAACATCACTATTGTAGAACCTAAGATTGTTTTGTTTTTTTGAGACAGTCTTTCACTCTTGTTGCCCAGGCTGGAATGCAATGGCGTGATCTCCGCTCACCGCAACATCTGCCTCCCAGGTTCAAGCTATTCTCCTGCCTTAGCCTCCCAAGTAGCTGGGATTACAGGCGTGCACCACCATGCCCAGCTAATTTTTTATATTTTTAGTAGAGACAGGGTTTCTCCGTGTTGGTCAGGCTAGTCTTGAACTCCCAACTTCAGGTGATCCTCCCACCTCGGCCTCCCAAAGTGCTGAGATTACAGGCGTGAGCCACCACACTCAGCCTAAAATTGATTTTTTGAGATATTTTCCAGACTGACTTCACCCAGGCCCATGACTGACAACTCAGCTGGTCCCGTGGCCTCACTGACGGACTCAGCATATAAAGACCATTTTCTACACCCCTGTGATTTCATCCCCAACCAGGTAGGAGCATCTACTCCCTAGGTCCCTCTTCCCCTCACCCCCACCAAATTGTCCATAAAAATCCTAACCTCTGAGCATTTGGGGAGACTGATTTGAGTAATAATGTTATGTTCTGCATGGTCAGCCTCATGTTGATTAAACTCTTTCTCTACCGCAATAGCATGGTCTCACAGAACTAGTTTTCTCTTTGCAGTGGGCAAGAAGAACCCATAAGGTAATTACATCTGTGCAGACATACCCCTGGTGTCTCTACCTCTTTTTTTTTTTTTTTTTTTTTGAGACAGGGTCTTACTCTGTTACCTAGGCTGGAGTGCAGTGGTGTGATCTTGGCTCACTACAACCTCTGCCTCCCAGGTTCAAGCAATTCTCCTGCCTCAGTCTCCTGAGTAGCTAGGACTACAGGCACCTGCCACTGCACCTGGCTAATTTTTGTATTTTTAGTAGAGACAGGGTTTCCCCATGTTGGCCACATTGGTCTTGAACTCCTGACCTCAGGCGATCCACTGAGGTGGGAAATGCTGGGATTACAGGCTTGAGCCACCTCTCAGAGCCTCTCTACATCTTTTTTTTTTTTTTTTTTTTGAGACGGAGTCTTGCTCTGTCGTCAGGCTGGAGTGCAGTGGCGTAATCTCGGCTCACTGCAACCTCTGCCTCTTGGGTTCAAGCAATTCATCCGCTTCAGCCTCCTAAGTAGCTGGGACCACAGGCACATGCCACCACACCTGGCTAATTTTTTTTGTATTTTTTTAGTAGGGATGGGGTTTCACTATGTTGGCCAGGATGGTCTCAATCTCTTGACCTTGTGATCCGCCCACCTCAGCCTCCCAAAGTGCTGGGATTACAGGCACGAGCCACCACACCCAGCCCTCTTTACATCTTCTTACACCACCTTTATTGGATTAGGGCCCCACCCTTATGACCTCATTTAAACTTAATTATCTCCTTAAAAGCCCTATCTCCAAAAATGGTCATATTAGTAGTTAAGACTTCAACCTATGAATTTTGGGAAAACATAATTCAATTCATTAACAGGTTAGGTTTCCAGAAAGAAATCTCATCTGAGGCAAGGCTTGAAGTTTGTATGAAATTAGCCAGGTAAAGAGTGGGGAATGATGGGTGTGGTGGCTCATGCCTGTAATCCCAGCACTTTGGGAGGCTGAGATGAGAGGATCTCTTGAGGCCAGGAGTTCAAGACCAGCCTGGTCAACATGGTGAGACCTCCCCGCCATCTCTAAATTAAAATTAAAAAAGAGTGGGGCAAAGGTGCTCACTTTGGCAGCATATATACTAAAAACTGGAATGATACAGAGCAGATTAGCATGGCCCCTGTGCAAGGATGACATGCAAATTTTTGTGAAGCAATTAAATTTAAAGACAAAAATAAAGCATGGGGAAAAGAGTGCTTCAGACTGCAGGTAAAGGCTGGTCAAAGGCCAGGGGACAAGAAAGTATGGCATATCAGAAAACCAAAAGTATTTCTAGATGATTCCAGAGAGATCCACAGAGAACCTTGGAAGGCCTTGGAAGTCTTGATAGAATTGGGGCTTTGTCTCAGGGCAATAGGAAGCCAGCAAAACTGTAAGCAGTAGACTGATAGAACCATATCTGTATTGATCACTTTAGCTTTAACGTGGAGAGTGAAGTGAAAAATAGTAAAATTGGAAATAGAATGACAAGTTAGGAGGTTTTTATAATAAAATGGGGAGGATGGGAATAGAGAGAAGTATACAGAATTGAGAAATCTTCAGCACCTAGAATTGGCAGGACTTGCTAATGGGCTAGAAAATAAGGAATAAACTGAGCATGATGCTTAGGTTTCTGAGTTAAGCCAGTGGTTGGGCAGTTAGTGACATGCCCTGAGAAAGGAAACAAAAAAGCAGATGATCAGGGGGAGTGGTGAATGGTAAACTCAGTGTTCAATACAGTACATTGAGTTGTAGATTTGTGAGTCATACAATTAAGGATATTCACAGCCTTATCAGCTAGCTATTTTCATTCCTGTTTTAGAAATAAAAAGCAACAGGCCAGGTGCAGTGGCTCATACCTGTAATTCCAGAACTTTGGGAGGCTGAGGCACATGGATCATCTAAGGTCAGGAGTTTGAGACCAGCCTGACCAACATAGTGAAACTTTGTCTCTATTAAAAATATAAAAATTAGTTGCGCATAAGGCCCGGCACAGTGGCTCATGTTTATAATCCCAGCACTTTGGATTGCCAACGCGGGCAGATCACCTGAGGTCAGGAGTTTGAGACCAGCCTGGCCAACAGGGAGAAACCCTGTCTCTACTAAAACTATAAAAAGTTAGCCAGGCTTCGTGGTGGGCATCTGTAATCCCAGCTACTTGGGAGACTGAGAGGCAAGAGAATCGCTTGAATCTGGGAGACGGAGGTTACAGTGAGCCGAAATTGTGCTATTGCACTCCAGTCTGGGCAACAAGAGTGAAACTCCATCTCAAAAATAAAATAAAATAAAATAAAAAGCAACAATAACTGACATTTCGAGACATTAGTGAAATGGGATCCATGCCCAGGTTCATCAGACTCTGAGGGCTATGCTTTTTCAACTACAGTCCACAAAATTTTGCCCAAAACTCCATCAGTCAGATATATTTCAGAATTCGGAATTTGCTGATTTTGGAAACATAATGTAGTGCCTATATTCTATATTACAGAACAGGGACTGGGAAAGTATCTCACAATCAAACAAATTGATAAATCTCTAATGATTCATGTGAATATTCAGTAAGTGGGGTAAAAGAGGATCAAAAACAGTCTTGTGATAGTTCAGGATGACTTTGCCATTTAATGAGTATATAGAAATTTCACCAGCCTGGTCAATATAGTGAGACCCCATTGTTACAAAAAAAATTTTTTTTTTTTTTTTTTGAGACGGAGTTTCACTCTTGTTACCCAGGCTGGAGTGCAATGGCGCGATCTCGGCTCACCGCAACCTCCGCCTCCTGGGTTCAGGCAATTCTCCTGCCTCAGCCTCCTGAGTAGCTGGAATTACAGGCACGTGCCACCATGCCCAGCTAATTTTTTGCACCTTTAGTAGAGACGGGGTTTCACCATGTTGACCAGGATGGTCTCGATCTCTTGACCTCGTGATCCACCCGCCTCGGCCTCCCAAAGTGCTGGGATTACAGGCTTGAGCCACCGCGCCCAGCCTGCTACAAAAAATTTAAAAATTAGCTGGGAGTGGTGGTGCATGCCTGTAGTCCCCGATACTCAGGAGGCTGAGGTGGGGGATCACTTGAGCCTGGGAGGTAAAGGATGCAATAAGTCGTGATTGTGCCACTGCACACCAGCCTGTGAGACAGAGCAAGACCCTATCGCAAAAAAAAAAAAAAAAAAAAAAAAAATTTAGGCCAGGTGTGGCGGTAATCCCAACACTTTGGGAGTTCAAGGGAGTGATCAGGAGTCTGAGACCAACCTGGCCAACATGGTAAAACTCCGTCTCTACTACAAATACAAAAGTTAGCCAGAAGCGGTGTTGCAACACCTCTAGTCCCAGCTCCTGGGGTGGCTAAGCACGAGAATTGAACCTGGGAGGCAAACACTGCAGTGAGCCAAGATCATGCCGCTGCACTCCAGCTTGGGTAACAGAGCAAGGTTCTGTCTCAAAAAAAAAAATTTAGTTTCAGGATATATTGGATTTGGGAATTGTGGATAAATGATAAATGCACACTTTCTTGGATAATGCTGTAGATAGAGGTAAAAAAAAATAGAGTTTCAAGAAGAAAGTGGTGGTTTTTGTTTTGTTTGGTTTTGTTTTTCAGGATAAGTACAAGATTATTATTATTATTATTATTGAAAGTGGTGTTAAATATTACTGAGAGATGAAGGACAAGAATTGAAGAAAGGTCATCAAACTTGGTGATCAGGAGCTTAATAGAGATATTGTCAGAAGCACACTCCTTAAGTATATAAAGTAATGAGAGCAGAAGTCAGCCTTTTTTTTTTTTTTTTTTGAGGCAGAGTTTTGTTCTGTCGCCAGGAGCCAGGCTGCAGTGCAGTGGTGCAATCTCGGCTCACTGCAACCTCCAGCTCCTGGGTTCAAGCAGTTCTCCTACTTCAGCCACCTGAGTAGCTGGGCATGGGCCCAGCTAATTTTTGTATTTTTTAGTAGAGACGGGATTTCACCATGTTGGCCAGGATAGTCTCCATCTCTTGACCTTGTGATCTGCCCACCTCAGCCTCCCAAATTGTTGGGATTTCAAGTGTGAGCCACCAGGCCCAGCAGAAGTCAGCTTTTAAGAGGGTTAAAGAGTAAGACAATAACCCTTTTAAGAGGGTTAAAGAGTAAGACATATTCATGCCCAGAAAATGGTTAATTTAAAAAGACAAAGAATATAAAGTATTGACAACCACTTAAAGCAAGTGGCATTTATATTCACTGCTGGTGGTAGTGTGTTTTGGAAAATTGTTTGGCAATCTCTGCTATATGCATAACCCCTGATGCACCAATTCTAGCCTATGTAAGTGCTCAGCAAAATGCATGCACATGAACTCAAGGAAACATCTACAGGAATGTTCACATCAGCTTTGTTTTGGAATAGTGGTGGGTATTCATTACATTATATTTCTTTTTTTTCTTTCTTTCTTTCTTTTCTTTTTTTAACTCAAACATGGCAGCATAGTTCTCCTAGATCATTATATTGTAAATCAAATTAACTACAAATAAATAAAATGCACCATACATGAACCACTGACAACCACTGGTCATGAACCAAGGATTTTAATTTATTCCAAACTGTGTGGTGAGGTTTATAAGAAAAGGTGAAGAATGTAAGTCCTTAATGAGAATGCACCTATCCAAAAAGGGATTAGGCCAGGTGCAGTGGCTCACAAACTGTAATCCCAGCACTTTGGGAGGCCAAGGCAGGCAGATCACTTGAGGCCAGGAGTTTGAGACTAGCCTGGCCAACATGGTGAAACCCTGTCTCTACTAAAAATACAACAATCAGCCAGGCATGGTGGCACGCACCCGTAATCCCAGCTACTAGGGAGGCTGTGGCAAGAAAATCTCTTGAACCTGGGAGGCGGAGGTTGAAGTAAACTGAGACAGTGCCACTGCACTCCAGCCTGGGTGACAGAGTGAGATTCTGTCCCAAAAAAGTGGGGGGAGGGAGTTAATTATGCATACATTTACAAAATAAACATCTGTCAAAGCCAGCCAAGAATATTTGCTCCATGATGCTGGAAAACGTCTAAAGAGTTCTGCAAATCATTTCAATATTGTGACCAAAACTTTTCCAATTGGTCCATTTCTCCAATTACTTTGCTGCCTTCCCCAAAACCCTGAACTGGAAAAAAAAAAAAAAAAAAAAGAGTATGATATACATGACAATCATGCTGGGAAAGTCAGAGCCCTGCAGATTTTAGAACTGGCAAAGGAGAACTCAGTGTAGAATAACCCGTGTCTGGCCAAAGCTGAAGCCTGGCCAACCTCCCTGGATGCTGTGAAAATTCTTTGGCCACAGTTCTGATGTCCTAACATCTGAGGTTGCATCATTCTTCCCGTAGTTGCTTCTGGTCTGAATATCAACAGCATATGATGAAAACATGTCAGGGTAGAGGCAAAAGGTATTTGTCATATTTTTTTTTTCTTGCTTTCTCTTCCTTCCTTTTTTCCACAGAAAAGTGGAGAAAATATTTTAAAAGACCACCTCAGAAATCAAGAAGACAGTGAAAATGAAAGGTAGAAAGTTCAATTCATGGTAAAATTCTTATTTTTCCTGTGCTGTTTGGCCTGATCCTTCCCTTTCCTGAAGCCCTCATATGGCTTCCCAGGATTGTCAAATAGATATTTCCTGTGCTAGTACGGCTCAGGAGGGACAGCGGCAGGCAGCATGGAACACAGGAGAAACAGAATAGATTAACAGTGGATTGAAGAATCTTGGCAACTGTGGAAAATACTTTTTTTTTTTGGAGACGGAGTTTCGCTCTTGTTACCCAGGCTGGAGTGCAATGGCGTGATCTCGGCTCACCGCAACCTCCGCCTCCTGGGTTCAGGCAATTCTCCTGCCTCAGCCTCCTGAGTAGCTGGGATTACAGGCACGTGCCACCATGCCCAGCTAATTTTTTTGTATTTTTAGTAGAAACAGGGTTTCACCATGTGGACCAGGATGGTCTCGATCCTTCGACCTCGTGATCCACTTGCCTCGGCCTCCCAAAGTGCTGGGATTACGGGCTTGAGCCACCGCGCCCGGCCTGAAAATACTTTTAAAAGGAGGCTGAAGGCAAATTTCTCTTAGAAAACTAAAGAACCGAGGCAGGGCACAGTAGCTCACATCTGTAATCCCAGCAGTTTGGGAGGCTGAGGCAGGCAGATCACTTGAGGTCAGGAGTTTGAGACCACCCTGGCCAA